ACTAAATAAGAAGTAGTAGTAAAGTAAATAATAGTATATATAATAATATATACTAACTAACTTACTTATTACTTATAGTGTATATATATATGTAGTATATATATATATATATATATATATATATATATATATATATATTTGAGTAATGATCCTATGAGACGCTCCCACACCCATGTGTGTAGGACCCAAAAGGATCACCATTAAATTTGGCACAGATCTCTAGAAAAGTTATCATATGGGTGTAGAACTTGATTTTTCTAGATATCTGTGCCAAATTTAATGGTGATCCTTTGAGGTCCTACACACATGGGTGTGGGAGGGTCTCACAAGGTCATTTCCCTATATATATATATATATTATTATTATTTTTGGCGTTGAGTAACCCTTTCAGATTTTCCTCGTTAAATGTAATTTTTTTTCTGGGATCGATTGTGCTAATACGGAGAATTTCTTGCTGATTGGTCTTTTAGGTATTATGGAGGATGGACGGCACCTAACATATATTTCTTGGGCTTTGCTGGAGTGGTCAAATTTGGAGACATTCGTATTGGGGGACTCTCTGGGATATATAAGGCACGTGATTACTATTCAGGCAAGTGAAACTGTTGCCTTGCTATTTTGGTCTTTTTTGACTGATCATTTTGCAATACTCTGCACCATCTATTATTTTTCTTGTACTAGAAAGGTTAGCTCCTCTTCTGCTCAATATTTGTTCCATCATATTCGCTGAGAGTTGTTTTGATTATGAGCAGTATGGTGCTTTAATTGGCTTTTGATTTCCTTAAAATTCCATTGGTGCAGTATAGCTGTTTTATCATGTATTTCCCTTGAAGTAATCTGGAATATTGTCAAATGAGCAGGACATTATGAGAGGACTCCTTATAATAGCAATGACATTCGGTCTATATATCATGTGCGTCAGTATGATGTTTATAAGCTCATGCAAATTGAGGAGAAAATTGATATATTTATTTCACATGATTGGCCTCTTGGCATCACTGATCACGGGAGCTGTAAGGAGCTTATTCAACAGAAGCCTTTTTTTGAGAGAGAGGTAATCTGCACTTACACTTGAGTTATATTCAGTTCCCTGGACATGATTATAAATCTCAAGTTTGGAATTTATTGTGTTTTATTTATTTATTGTTTGAATATTACATAATCAAAATTAGTTTATACTTAATAATATCGACACATTCTTTTTGGTATTGATATATTTAATATTCATTCACCTGTTCCACTAAGGTTGCTTTATTATTTCGTTTCATATTTCACATAGAAAAGCGAAAGATTGTGGCGGTGTAAATATTCAACCTGGAATTTTTCCTAAGTTTATGCCTTTAGATTGCATCTCTGTCGCAATCTGAGAAAACTGTTTTCCTCTAAATGGTAAAAATGGCAATCCGTTGCCTGGCTTGATACATGGGAGAGCCTGGAAATTTCTTGTGTCAAGGAGTTGTGTGTGTCAAGGCTTTAGGCATCACTAATGATAAAGAGAAGCAAGAACAAAATACAGTTGCTGAACGGTAGAAAGGAGAATTATGGGTGGAGATGAAGATGGAGAGGAGAAGATGAATTAAGGAAGAGAAAGCATGAGCTCCTCTGCGGTTGGATTCTTCAATCATTGCATGGCAGAAATACGGTACCACGGGTATATATATCCTCCAATAAAAACAAGAGCAAATTGTGAATCTTTAAAGATATTCTGAAGACCATTCAAGTCCAACTCACTGCACAAGCAAATGTACGTCAAGTACCCCTTAAACTCTAATTCTAGACCAGAGTATGTGCAAACTTAGACCAATATTTTTGTGGTATGTTCTTTCAAGCACAAACTCATGACTGCATGAAACTTTTAGTGTTAGAATCTTGAGCCTAATTGTGACTCAGAAAAATTGAAAGTGTTGAGCCTGACTTCCCTACACTTTTGTAAGACTAGCATTCTTATAAAAGTTAGATTAAACCGCAACCTTAAAATAATGACATAGAATAATCACATGTCCCTAGGGATGCTCTTGTCCCTTATTCTGGAGTGAACGGCAGCTGCAGATCTTTAAAGATTTGCTTCCTATATCAACTGTGTTGGATATGGATGACTTTGAGCAGTTTCTCAACTTTCATATTTAAGTGGTGGACCAGGAATGTGCTTTTTAATGGTTACCTTGGTCCCTCTTCTCTTTATCTGCTGATCATCTTTTAACCCAAGGAACTCAATTGCATTGCATGACAAGTGTGTCCAATTAATCCTATCCCAACTTGAATGACACTTGTGGGAATGTTCTTAGTAATAGCCAATCTCTTAAGATGTAGGGGCTTTTAATTTTTGACTCTATGGAAAAATAGTAGAAAATAAGATTTCTACATCTAAAATTCAGCATTTCTTGGAGGATCTCAAAGCCGTTTTTCTGAGGCCTACGAAGAGGCCAATTTTCTTGGAAATCTGCTTAGTAGCCACGAAACTAAGATTGAAAAATTTATTGCCAAAGGACCTTGGCAGTATCAATACACAATGTATCAAACAGTGGGGTTCTTGGGCAAACAGTATATGCCTTGAATGTATTAATATGTTCTTTCTTGGGATCATCTTCCTCTTCTGATTTTTTCCACTTATTTATTTATTTTCACTCTTGACCTTTATTCCTCTAGCAGTTAAGGCATATTGAACCATTGAGGAAGATCTGCTGGCATAAAATGTTCATGTTGAGCTTGTGTTCTAGCTATTTCCTGAAAGCAATTTCTCTAATGTAGCTCACTCATTTGTATGGTAGATTGTTGTGACAATGAACTTTTGATAATGAACTATCAAGGCAAGTACAACGCTCGTCAACAGTATTTTCACCTATTATTACATTCGAAGTTTTCAATACTTCCTGTGGAATCTGACATAATCTATTTTATTATATTTTTTCTTTTTACAATATAATTTACTCTGTTATCAACTCTTTTGGTGTGAATATCTAATATGTTTATTTTCTTTCTTATCAAAATATGACAGAATTCTTTCTTCTGTACTAGTGTTGATGGATTTTCTGAGGAAATGCCATCTAACTCTTCATACTTTCCATTCTCTTAGCTAACACAATGTGAGAATTATTGCAACTTGGGAAATCCCTACATAAGAATATCAATATCTCCCATGCAATCAAGTGGCTAGGAAGCAAGATTTCTTAGACTTTGTTTTGTGGATTCAGATATGTTCTCTGTTAATAATTTCAGATTAGGGAGAGAAGTCTTGGAAGTAAGCCCGCAGCAGAGTTGCTAGAGAAACTGAAACCGGCATATTGGTTCTCTGGTCATTTGCATTGCAAATTTCCAGCTATTGTTCAACATGGGGAGGATGGTCCCATCACAAAATTCCTTGCGCTGGATAAGTGTCTCCCAGGACGCAAATTTTTGCAGGTTGCCTTAAAACCTCTTGGGTACTCTGTTGACAGCATTAGAGCTAGAGTATTTATACCTGTGGGTTTCTTGAATTTCAGATCATTGAAATTGAATCCAATCCTGGACCTTTCGAAATTCATTATGACGAAGAATGGCTCGCAATAACACTGAAGTACAATCCTTTGCTTCCTCTGACAAGAAAGTCTGCTCAACTGGGGTATAGAAGTCTCTTGAGAATTGTCTTTATCTTGTGTTTATCTTGTCATACGTGGTTGTGATTGCTCCTTGAACCATGTTACTTGCATCAGGGGTGAAGAGCCAGGTCTCCAAGGTTACCGAGAAAGGGTCAAGAACCAGCTAATGGCTAGAGGATCAAAACCTTTTGAATTTTCACCTACGGTTCCAGCACATGATCCTGAATCATTTTCGGGTGACCCTTCTTTTCAAGGTAAATTTTCCTTTCTTATAATTTTTTGGCTAATTCATGTACTGATACTCAGGGGATTAGAATATTATAGCTTTTTCCCTTCAAATTTTTACTATGGGGTTGTTATTCAATTCCGTTGTGCTCCAAGTTGACGAGCCTAGTAAGGTATAATCATGCTGCAATATATGGTTAGCATCTCCTGCTTCCTGCTTTTCCTTTATACTCTCTGGAATCAGATCTATAACTAGTATTCTTGAAGGTTTACATATGTTTTTTGAGTTGTTACATATATTTTTTGAGTTGTTACATATATTTTTTGCACCATATCTTATGCATGCTATTGGTTTTTTCTTTATTTTTAGTATTTGATTGTTATGGCTTCCTAATTTTAATAGAGAACTTTACAAATGGCTTCCTAATTTTTGTTAAATGATACCACATTTGCTGCTTCAATTGGTTTGCAATCTTCATATTCATGGACATTTCTTTCTGCTTCTCGTCAGTTCGCATCATAACGTATTTGGTCTTTTGATTCAATCTTCTTTTTGTTGGAAGACTTGTTTTTGTATATTATTCCTGTTTTATATGTATTCTTTAAGATTTGCTTGTATTTGGAAATATGAATTTGTACGAAGGAGTTTTTGTGGAGCTGTTGCCCTAATAGAACACCACTCATTTAATATTAAGATTCGTTATCCTGGGGTTGATACAATAGCCCAGCTTTATTTTCACCTGAGCCAGCATGCCTCTTGTCTTCTCTCTCTTGTCTCCCTCTTGTTTGTGTTTCAGGTGCAAGATCTTATCAACATAAGTTAACATGGTATTAGAACAGATTTGAATACGCTCTTAGCATGATCAACTCTAATCATGGTGACCTATAGTTCCTCCTTGAAGATTCATTATCTCTTCCTCTTCTAAACCCTAATATTTATTTCTTCATCTTTACCCTCTTTCATCATTCTCACCCTTCCTTCCTAAACCCTATTTTTTCTATCTCATATTTTCTCCATATTAGGGGCACCTACTGATCATGCTACTGTTCATGTCACTATTCATTTTACTGTTCACACTAATATTCACATCACTGTTCACACTACTGTACTTTTCTTCATAGCCTCATATTTCAGCTGCAAACTTCTGATTCTCTCTTCATTCAATATAAAACCTAGATTTTGTTTGCAATCCTTAATACTGCTCTTGCTATTCTTCTTTTCAGTTCTTTAAAATCTAGTCCAACACCCTAACTGCTTTTCTCTCTCCTGCTCTATTCTTGCTCTCCAGCCCAGCCACCTTTTATATACTCTTTTGGTCTTATCTCTAGATTTTCTTATTCTCTATAGACCTCCTCTTATTCTCCTTTCTCCAGATCTGGTTTGATTATAATTCTACCCCATCTTCCTCATCATGGTACGATCATCAAGTTCTAATTCCTTTTCACTACTAAATCCTCAATATGTCTCCGTCAAACTTAAATCTGATTATTTAATTGTCTGGAATGGAACTGTTATTTCCTTCATTAGAGGTCACGTCTCTATGGCCATTTGGATGGATCCACCAGTTCACCACCAAAATATATTGTTCAAGAAAACACAAATTCAAATGAAAAGAAAGAGACCACTAGAGTGATCAATCCATCCTATGAAGAAGGGCTCGTTAAATATCAGAATCTTTTTGGCTGGATTATTGTATGAAACAATTTTGTCTCAAGTGTTGAATCTATGTACAACATATGATCTTTGGACAGCCCTCATTGAGTCCTACTCTCAGGAATTGGAGGCTTGTGTATGCAATTAAAATATTGAATTTCAAGATTGTAAGAAGGGGTAGACGTGAGGATTTGAATTTTACTTCCTGGATGACATGGGATTATCTCCCCTCTTTTGCCAACCTTCGATCCATGTTGCTCCAACATGAGGCATTGTTCTTTCGGAAAGAGGCACAAAACTCATCTCCCTATAATGAGAACCACAATGTCCTTGTTATTAACAGAAGCAATACTGCACAAAATTTCAATAATTTTTGGTGAAATAATAGAGGTCTTAGGGGTCAAGGTGGCAAAAATGGGCATGGTGGCAGAAACTTCTATGGTATGGTCGAGGTCTCTTATCTACTTCTAATGGAAATATAAATATACTCATCAGTCTTCGGGGAAATAACAGAGGTCACAATTGAGTCTTCTTTTGGTCCTATTATCTTGAATCTTCTTTTTCTTGTTCCAAATCTTAGTCATAATCTGATTTTTGTTTCCCAACTAGCGCGTGATAATGGGATTTACTGTTTATGTCACGACCCCGCTCCCTGCCGTCCCCACCAGACCCTAGAGGGCTAGGCCCAGGCCAGCCGGAGGATCGTAGGACGTGGGGCCACGACCGTTTATTTTCTCCTGATTGTGTTTTCTTGAAGGAACAATAATTGGGAATCATTTTTGCTAAGGGAACTCGTCGTCGACAGTTATATGTGATAGATTGCCTTGAAAGAAGCATCCGATGCTGGTCTCAAGTCTAAATGTTAATAAAGATGCCAATTTATGGCATCATCGGCTGGGTCATTATAATGAGTCATTCAATAAACTATGTAATGAGGTGTTGTACCCTCAAATGTCAAAAGATCTTAGTCAATTTATTTGTTATGGATGTCAATTGAGCAAAAGTTCTGAACTTCCCTTTTCTTCAATTAATAAGAGCTTCTTTGTCGTTTGAGTTAATTCATTCTGATGTGTAGGGTTTGGTCTTGTTTGTTCTTCTTGTCATTCTTACTATTATGTTACATTTCATTGATGATTACTCTCGATATACATGGGTGTTTTTTCTAAATAACCAATGTGAGCAAGGTATTCATAAAGTTCAAGTCATTTGTTGTATAGCATTATCGAAGTCCAATTTTATTTTTTCCTTGTGATGAAGGGTGATAGTGATCCTCGTTTTTGATAGAGAACCATATGATCCTCTCTTTGATATTGGTCATATTTTTGATAAAGAACCAGGTGATCCTATTTTTGAGAATAAAATTATTTTAGATAAAAAACTAGGTGATCCATCTTTGATGGTGAAGATGAAGAATTAGGAAATGTTGTCTATGACGAAGAACAAGTTACAAGTGATGGTGATGGTGGCAATGGTGGTAATGATGTGGATAGTGTTGGTGAAGATGTTCAAGAGGAGGCAGTTGGGGGCAACAGCTGTAAAGAGCTCTTATCTCTCTTCAATGGTGGGGTTGATCTTTCTTGTTTTCAATTTGAAGATTCCACCCAATAGTTGCACCTATAGTTGGTTCTGCGAAACCTTTAGTAATTGGTTCGAGGATATTTTAATCAGCCCATAACCTATGGGTCCTAGGTTCAAGGCCCAATGTCAATGAGCAATATTTGGGTTGAGAGAGACCTTGTGTTTAGAGGAGGATTTATATTAACACACTTCAGAACTCGATGATGAGTTTTCTCCAACCAGAGAACAAAGATGTAGGAAAAATTTATTCTAGGTTTTAATTTTTGTTTAATTTAAAAAATGTATATTTTATTTTTATTTTTAGGGTCTAGTTTTTAGAGCCTTTTCCCAATTTATGGCTTCGTTGAGGGTATGGCCCTTGATAGAGCATTATCGCTGAACATGATTCGTGTAGCTGACCCTCAATAGTTGGGAAGAGGCTCTGATGATGATGATGATTTACTATTCATTAGTTACTATTCATAGGTACAGTCCATGGGTATACTGTTCATGGGTACTATTCATGTGTCACTGTTCCCACCTTTCCTTCCTGCATTAGAGGGGCAAGCACTCATTCCATGCTTTAAAAATTATTTAAAAGGATCATGGGATGGCGCAACAGATCTCTTGTCCTCACAGTCCAGTCCAAAACAGAGTTGTTGTGAAAGAAAGAATCAACGTATTAATGAGGTAATATTGTCTCTTATGTTTTCTAGTATTGTGCCATAGTACTTATGCACTGAGGCATTTCACACAGCTATATACCTCATTAATAGGCCATTAAGTGCTCTTAATGGGATCAACCTCTACAGAGTATGCATTGGTAAACATCTAGATTGTTCTATGTTGAATGCATATGTGCACATAGATAGCAGCCAAAGAAATAAGCTTTTCCCTGAGGCAGAAATGTGCATATTTGTTGGCTATTCTGATGAGTATAAAGGATATGGATGTCACAATTCTAGCTTGAAAGGATATTAATGTCCAGGCATGTTGTTTTTGATGAAAGGCGCTTATGGAATCCTCCAAAGGAAATGTTTACAAGTGATGCAGGTTTTGAAGGAGATAAAATTCAAGGTGATACAGCTCGTTACCTGCCCTTGATAAATAGTTGGAAAATTAAAAAACTCTGTGGAGAAACAATAAAGTAATCAGGGAAACGATGCGAAGGAAATTGGAGATGATGCTGAAATAAAAGGGGTAGATGGAGACATGACTGCCCAAATCAGAAGGTGGTGAAGAAAGCATCCATGAAGAGGTACAATATGACCCAAGAGAAGATTTTGGCCCTTCTTTGATACCAATGAAGAAATGCAAAATAAACAAAGTAGCAAAAAACTAATCTTATATCAAAGAAGGTCAAAGATTGGACAACAAACTCATAATTTACAGCCTCAAGATAGAGAATGACATGAAAATGAGCAGCATGATGAAGTCAGTTTGAGAAGATCAGCAAGAGTGAAGCAGCCTATTGATAGATTGGTCAACTATGGAAGTTTTAGACATAATTTTCAAGTGTTTATGTGTGAAATGGCGAAGATAAAAGCACCCAAAAATTTCTTTGAAGTCAGAAGAGATGAGAGGTGTTTTAGAGACATGGCAGAAGAGATACAAGCCATGCATGTTAACCGTACTTGGTGCATTGTATGAAGGCTGAGATACAAGAATGCTGGAATTATGTCCTTTCAAGGCCTTAATTTTCGACATTTTCAATAGCTCTTAACTTCAATGGGAGTAAAAGAGGGACATGACTCTAGGATCTTGTCGCACTGGGACCAAGAGTCATGGAATCCTGAGTGAGTCATGAGGAGGATTTAT